CAGTGGCTTGGCACCACAATAATCTGTGAGTTTGGAATCACCAGGCCTACGGCCAGCGGATCTTCAAAGTTGGGTGTTNGTTTAATTTCTAAAGGCAATTTAAGACTTATTATTGAAGCTCCCAATGGATAAAATTAAGAGATACCCTATTAATTCGAAATATTACACAATTTGAAATAATAAAATGAATCAACTGTCATTTGACACGTTTGACAACGCTGACACGTTAAGATTTCTTAGTTTAAAGTTTGTCGCATAACATGGCGTTGAACTGGAATCTGTGCGACTCTTGCAAGCGCTCCTGTTTATCCTCACGCTTCTCTTTAATGTACAGTACCAATATGATGAGTATTATGACCAGGCAAGTGCCTCCAAGGGCTACAACACTCATCAGGATCAGTTTACTGGGAGTAACAAACAGCTGAGCCTTCCAGTGCGATGGCTCATTCAGTGGCTTGGCACCACAATAATCTGTGAGTTTGGAATCACCAGGCCTACGGCCAGCGGATCTTCAAAGTTGGGTGTTCGGCCCAGGCCAAAGCAGGTGTACGGCAGTTGTAGGGCAAAATAGGATGCTCCAACACCCATATCTGCAAAGCTGGTGATAGCATATTCTTGTTTGGATGTAATAAAAAAGTTTAAAATGCTGACGCTCGTTATTGGTTTTAGCCCTGAATTAATTGAAATTAATCTGTAAAAGTCTACAACTCTTTTTGGTCTTTTCTTTCACCAGTTTAACATGGTTGGTGCATGACATGTTTGCGTTAATAATTCTACCTAAAAAGGTAAACCATTTAGTATTAGGTATTTGGACATTTACTACTGATATGTTTATTGTGTTTCCCCTATTATTACCAATGTGAAGACTTACTAGGGTTAAAGCTGAAACCGAGCTCCCCACAATTTTCCCTGTAAATTTGCAACAGCCTCCTCAAGATGTTTTCTATGTGAAATAAGGACAAAATCATCCGCAAACTGAATTACTTGTGTTTTAGAGTCCATAATTTGATTAAGTATTTTTGTGTATACTTTAAATAACAGAGGTGACAGAGAAGACCCTTGTGGTAATCCACCTTGTACCATCTCCACAGCATCACCCATTTTTAACATTCTAACTGATAAGAAACTCATGATCCAGTCTGTGTACATTTTGGGAAACTTTTCACTATTCATTATCATACTTAAGAAATTTAAGTTTACACAATTATACGCATTGTTTAAGTCTACAAAAGCTAGTACGACATGTTCGTTGTTTTTCTTCTTTGAGGCAGTTACATTGATAACATCATTTATGCACATCGATGCAGATTTGTTTTATTGATATGCAGACAATCTGTAAAGTAGTACCTTGTTTTTTTTTTATGTGAATTTCTAGTTTGTTTTTAATGATTCCATTTACAGTTTTGGCCATGACCGAAATCAGTGAGTTTGGGCGAAAATTTGTATTATCTGTAAGACCCTTATTTTTTTTGGGTATAGGTGTGATTTTTATAGAACCCTATTCCATTGGAAAGTCACAATTTGTTATTTTGTTATTATAAAAACATTTAACATTTCATAGGTGACTTTATCCAATCCTCCAGCTGTTCTCTTGTTACGGCCAAGAACCTCTTCGAGATCTTCCACAGTGAATTCAGGACTATCATTATGTTTTTATTTGTTCCTTTAGGAATACCAAAAACTCTCCCGCTTTTTCTTGATCAAATTTTTCTTTTCTGTTTCTGTGTGATGGTTTTTAAGATTTAAAAACCTCCATGCTTCTCTGCTGTTTGAATTTATGTTTATTTCGATTATTTTACGGGCTTTTTTCCATTTTATCTTTGTCTCAACCGCTCTGCAGTACTTTTGAAAAGAAGGTTCTGCATTTGCTTGTATTTGTGCGTCACGGAATTCTCTAAAAAGTTCAGCATCATCCCACCATAATTTTGGTTTTTTTTCCCTATTTGATATGTTGCAGCTTTTATTTCTCTGCCCACATTTTTTGCTAGACTTTCTATATTTCCATTTATTTTACCTACGTTTGTTAGTTTCTTGGCAAGAAATCTTACAACTTTATCTTTTTTTTCCAGCCATATCAAAAACTATCGGATGATGATGACTGCCTCCCAGAAAAAATTTTTCGCATTTCCAGTTTTCTATTTTGATTCCTTTCACAAAAGTCAGAGCCTACATTTGCATCAATGTTTCTTCTGAAAGTAACACTGCCATCATTTGCCAGTATGTAACCCGCATTATTCATGGCCTGCCTCAAAAAAGTTCCTTCCCTGGTATTGACTGTGTCTCCAAAGCCAGTGTGTCTTGCATTGAAGTCTCCTGATATAACGCATCTTTCAAATGAATCGAGCCTGTCTATTGTCTGCTTAAAAATGGTGAGTGGTATCAGGGGTTTAAAGTATGCAGATAAGATGACTAAATTTAGTCCATTGATTGGTTTCAAAAACGATTCTTTTTAGATTTAAATTCTTTTTATGAGCGATGGCCACCCCTCCATAGCCATCTTCTCTGTGTTTTTCAATGAGATTATAATTTGCTATTTTTCTAAAACTAAGATCATGAGATGACACTTTCGCCAGAATGGCAATGCTGACGTTCTCACTGTTAAGGACAAATTGTAGATCATTTTTATTTGCTTTAATCGACTGAATGTTATGTTGCAGAAATTTGATATGCCAAGCCGACGCGTTATAATGTTATTGAGAACACGGGCANCCTACATTTGCATCAATGTTTCTTCTGAAAGTAACACTGCCATCATTTGCCAGTATGTAACCCGCATTATTCATGGCCTGCCTCAAAAAAGTTCCTTCCCTGGTATTGACTGTGTCTCCAAAGCCAGTGTGTCTTGCATTGAAGTCTCCTGATATAACGCATCTTTCAAATGAATCGAGCCTGTCTATTGTCTGCTTAAAAATGGTGAGTGGTATCAGGGGTTTAAAGTATGCAGATAAGATGAATAAATTTAGTCCATTGATTGGTTTCAAAAACGATTCTTTTTAGATTTAAATTCTTTTTATGATCGATGGCCACCCCTCCATAGCCATCTTCTCTGTGTTTTTCAATGAGATTATAATTTGCTATTTTTCTAAAACTAAGATCATGAGATGACACTTTCGCCAGAATGGCAATGCTGACGTTCTCACTGTTAAGGACAAATTGTAGATCATTTTTATTTGCTTTAATCGACTGAATGTTATGTTGCAGAAATTTGATATTTGATTTTAATGTTTTACAGGGGTCTGTCTACTTTTGTCTCCCAGTAAACTTGTATTCATAGCGTTTATTGCGTTATTTTCATGTAAATATGTCTGAAAATCTGTTAGATTACTTCTATCAAATGTTTGCTTATTTGCATGAACATGTTGAACATTTGTTAAAACATAAAACGGAACTTCTCTGTTGGTTTATTTGCGAAAACAGGCTTATGGCCGCTGTTATCGTTTGTATAAGCATCTAAATGGAAATGTGGGGTTTGTTTCGGGACTACTGGTTTGTAGACCAATCCGGTAGCATAGCTATGCTTTTTAAGTACCTCATTTGTTTTTATGTCTCTATTATGAACATTATCATATGTTTTTCCTAATTTTGGAAAATTTACCTCGTAATTTTCCATGTGTGAATCATTTTGATGTACAGAGTATGTACTCAGCATATCCTTCCTAGCCAATTTTTTAATGGTCATCATTTTGTTAATGTCCATCTCCTTTTCCCATCCTGGACATAGCATTCTGTCTCTAGCTGTGTGATTCTTCCCATTGCATAATATACATTTCAACGCTGTGCAGGTGCCATTGCAGTCTTCTACACTACACTTTTGGCATCTCCTAGCCGATTTGCATCTGTCAGAAGTGTGTCCCAGTCTACCACAGTTAAAACATTGACGTACTTTTGGTATGTATTGATGCACTTTCATGCAGCAAATTCCAAAAAACATAATTTCCGGATTTCCATAATTTTCCGGAATTTGTGAACCCTCAAAACCTATCTTAACCGTCTCCGTTGGTATAAAATTAACCTCAGTTCCAACTTTCTCCTTTCTCGAAAATCTTTCTATGGATTTATAGGTATGTTTGAAATTAAATTTTCCTTTATCTCCTTGTCTGTAAAACCTTGTGGAACTTCTTTTATAATTCCATACGACTCTACATAGCTTTTCCGTATAAATACAAGTATACAAATACAGTATTCTTCAAGCTTGGGTTTTTATTATATTGTTTCAGATCCACGTCAGAGGCAGAGCCGAGGCAGAGGCAGCGGCCAGCGGCAACTGCAGAAGCAGAGTGTGAATAGAGAATGTGCAAAAAAACAACAAAAGCTGCTGGACAGGGTGGGTTTAGCTACTGCAAATTAATTTCTTCATTGTGATCTGATAGATATGGTCATTCCCCACAGAATGGCGTTTTAGATTTCTTTTATCTTTGGGAGGTTTTCGCCATTTTGCGGGGACGGAAGGGGGCGGTGCTAATTTTTTAAATACACAGGTTTCAGTGGCTTTAGCTCTTATAGTCTCTGACTCCATCGGCTTGTCTATTGATGCTGATCAAGAATATATATATACTTTATGGAGTCGGAAACGTTTCCTTCTGTGCGTTACATACAACCGGGGGAATATCGGGGGATTCACAAAATTCGCAGAGCTTCTGATGAAATCATTTAGTGCGGATTGACATGTGCTCGATTGTTTAGTAGGATTTTAAAATGTTAAATTTGTTTTCCAATTTAAAATTAAGCAGCTGCAGGTGCGCCAAGTGTCCAGAACAGACCAAATCAACCAGCTGCAGGCACGTCCACTCCCGTTCCATCCACAAGCTCCGCCGCTTTTGGCTCTCAACAACAGCAAGAAGGTTGCCAAAAACAGGACAGTCACCAGCAACGTCCTCAGGCCGGGCAAGGATGGGGATGGCAACAGAGAGGAGCGCAACAAAGAGGGGCACAAAGCAACCAGACGGACAACAAAGAGGACCACCGCAACAGGGCGGCTTTTAGCCACGAACTCAGGGTCAGAAAGCTCAAGGGCAATACCGCGGATCTCCACGCGAACAGGGTGGCTATCAGCCACGTCCTCAGGGTCAGCAAGCCCAAGGGCAATACCGCGGATCTCCACGCGAACAGGGTGGCTATCAGCCACGTCCTCAGGGTCAGCAAGCCCAAGGGCAATACCGCGGTCCGCCACACCAACAGGGGGGCTATCAGCCACGTCCGCAGGGTCAGCAAGGACAGGGCCAAGGAGGCTACCAGTCCCAAGGTCAATTCCAAAGAGCCCAAGGAGGCGCTTCTCTGCCACCTCTCCCAGCAGGTACCATGAAACGTGGTACTTTGGGAAAACCTGGTGAAGTCTCTGTAAATTATCTGAACGTTAACTTGGATAAAATGCCACCGGTGGCCTACCACTACGATGTGAAAATTACGCCAGAGCGACCTAAAAAGTTCTATCGTCATGCTTTTGAGCAGTATAGAATTGAGCATTTGGGCGGTGCGATTGCCGCATATGATGGACGTGCATCGTGCTACTCAGTTGTGAAATTAAAATGCAGCTCGCAGAGCCAAGAAGTGAAAGTAAGTGTTGTTAAGTATTTCACGGAGTTTTGTGTAATTTTGATGTGATCCTTGCTTTCTTTTCCGCCAGGTAACAGATCGCCACGGGCGTACATTGAATTATACCCTGGAACTAAAGGAGACGGAGGACTCGGAAGTCGATTTGAACTCACTGAGAAGGTAAATGAATTGTGATAATGAACCGAACGTGTCATTAGAGATTCGGCCCTTGTTAATGCAATTTTCCATTTGTGCAGTTACATGAAGGATAAGATTTATGACAAGCCCATGCGGGCTTGTGTTATAGGTTGTGTTGGCCGCTCCTTGTCATAGGACCTTCTTCAAAAGGTCTGAACCCGGAAATGCATATGATCTTGGCGACGGCTACGAAGCTCTGGTTGGACTCTATCAAACTTTCGTGCTTGGTGATCGTCCGTTTGTCAATGTGGATATATCCCACAAGTCCTTTCCGATGGCCATTTCGATCATTGAGTATATTGAGCGGTATCAGCGGCAAAAAATTGACAAGAGCACAAATCTAGACTTCAGGCGTAACGATATCGAATCATTCTTAAGGGGTGTTAATATAATTTACGAGCCGCCTGCCTGTTTTGGTAGCGCTCCACGCGTCTTCAAAGTCAACGGTCTTTCCAAGGTTCCAGCCAGCACTCAGATATTTGAGCTGGATGGAAAAAAAACGACCGTTGCACAGTACTACAAATCTCGGGAATATAATATAAAGTTTCCAAACCTTCTCTGCCTGCATGTTGGGCCGCCGTTGAAATACATTTATTTGCCTATCGAACTATGTCGCATTGAGGATGGGCAGCCACTGAATGTGAGTTCAACATCTCTGATCTTCCCTTCACTCCCAACTGATTTCTGGCATTTATTAATTTATATCGCAGCGGAAAGATTCTGCCCCTCAGGTGGCGGCCATGATTAGGTATGCTGCCACATCAACCAACGAGAGAAAGGCCAAGATTATCCACTTGCTTCAATATTTCAAGCACAATTTGGATCCGACCATCAGTCGCTTTGGTATTCGCCTGGACAATGACTTTATTGTGGTTCATACACGTACGCTCAATGCCCCTCAGGTGGAGTACAAAAATAACAACTTGGCTTCGGTGAGGAACGGTTCGTGGCGCATGGATCGCATGCAATTCTTTGATCCCAAGCTGAAGCCTCACAAATGGGCCATTCTGTACGGTAAGATGCAGTACAATCAGGTGGCCGATTTTCAAGGAATTGTAAGTTGTACCTAGCTGAACACAGAATTACTGACAAATCTTGACTAATATTCTTTTCAGGTAATTCAGCAGAGTCGCAACGTCAATGTGTGCCTAGATGCCAAGGCCGATATACGGATGTACAAGAATGAACGTGACCTAGATGATCATTTCCTGGATTTCAAACGAAATCAATACGATTTGGTGTTCGTTATTATACCAAATTTCGGGGCCACATATGATGTCGTGAAGCAAAAGGCTGAGCTGCAATATGGCATTCTCACACAATGCATCAAGCAGATCACAGTCGAACGTAAATTGAACCCTCAGTGTATTGGAAACGTTCTACTTAAGGTAAATTCGAAGCTGAACGGCGTCAATCACAAGCTTAAGGATGATTCGCGCACTCAGTTAAAAAATGCCATGTTTTTGGGTGCTGATGTGACTCATCCATCGCCCGATCAGCGTGAAATCCCTAGTGTGGTGGGAGTGGCCGCCTCTCATGATCCATTTGGAGCTTCATATAACATGCAATATCGCTTGCAACGCTCTGCTCTGGAAGAGATCGAAGACATGGAGTCCATAACCCTTGAACACTTGCGAGTTTATCATCAGTTCCGGAAATGTTATCCCGAGCACATTGTCTACTATCGTGATGGTGTCAGTGACGGTCAGTTTCCCAAAATCAAGAATGAAGAGCTGAGGGGAATATCTGCGGCCTGCTGCAAGGTAATTGGAATTCTGTCAGTTAGAACTCTCGTGCCTTTCTATTGCTGTTTTAATCTCCTTCCAGATGCACATTAAGCCCAAGATTTGCTGCGTCATTGTAGTTAAACGGCATCATACGCGCTTCTTTCCGAACGGAGGTCCATCGCAATATAACAAGTTTAACAATGTTGATCCGGGAACAGTCGTCGATCGAACCATTGTCCATCCCAATGAAATGCAGTTCTTCATGGTCAGCCATCAGTCCATTCAGGGGACAGCCAAGCCGACGCGTTATAATGTTATTGAGAACACGGGCAACTTGGATATTGATCTACTCCAGCAATTGACATACAATCTCTGTCACATGTTTCCACGTTGCAATCGCGCAGTGTCTTATCCGGCGCCAGCATATTTGGCACATTTGGCTGCGGCACGTGGCCGTGTCTATCTAACAGGGTGCGAAATTAATGTTAATATTGTTGTTCTAAGATTATATATCTGGAGTGCTTTTCTTACNTGAAATGCAGTTCTTCATGGTCAGCCATCAGTCCATTCAGGGGACTGCCAAGCCGACGCGTTATAATGTTATTGAGAACACGGGCAACTTGGATATTGATCTACTCCAGCAATTGACATACAATCTCTGTCACATGTTTCCACGTTGCAATCGCGCAGTGTCTTATCCGGCGCCAGCATATTTGGCACATTTGGCTGCGGCACGTGGCCGTGTCTATCTAACAGGGTGCGAAATTAATGTTAATATTGTTGTTCTAAGATTATATATCTGGAGTGCTTTTCTTACAGCGTCACCAAGTTCCGTTCCCCAAAGGAGGAGTACGAAAAGCGTTTGATTGTTCCAGAGTTTATGAACAGGAATCCTATGTATTTCGTGTAAGAAGAAAAGTACACAGTTACTCTTTAGCCAATAATTTTTCAATTCAAATATGATTATTTTTTGTCAATTTTAATTGTATCACATTTTCTGAACCGTAATCATATGTATATCTCATGTATTGAGGGCACACTCTGCTGCTTTCATTAGGAGCTCCGATGTGAAGTGAAAAATAAAAATAAGAAAAGAATATGGATTTTTTTTTAATTTCTAAAGGCAATGAAAGACTTATTATTGAAGCTCCTAATGCATAAAATTAAGAGATACCCTATTAATTCGAAATATTACACAATTTGAAATAATAAAATTAATCAACTGTATGGGCTGACACGTTAAGATTTCTTAGTTTAAAGTTTGTTCATCGCGTTACATGGCGTCGAAATGGAATCTGTGGGACTCTTGCAAGCGCTCCTGTTTATCCTCACGCTTCTNTTTGGCTGCGGCACGTGGCCGTGTCTATCTAACAGGGTGCGAAATTAATGTTAATATTGTTGTTCTAAGATTATATATCTGGAGTGCTTTTCTTACAGCGTCACCAAGTTCCGTTCCCCAAAGGAGGAGTACGAAAAGCGTTTGATTGTTCCAGAGTTTATGAACAGGAATCCTATGTATTTCGTGTAAGAAGAAAAGTACACAGTTACTCTTTAGCCAATAATTTTTCAATTCAAATATGATTATTTTTTGTCAATTTTAATTGTATCACATTTTCTGAACCGTAATCATATGTATATCTCATGTATTGAGGGCACACTCTGCTGCTTTCATTAGGAGCTCCGATGTGAAGTGAAAAATAAAAATAAGAAAAGAATATGGATTTTTTTTTAATTTCTAAAGGCAATGAAAGACTTATTATTGAAGCTCCTAATGCATAAAATTAAGAGATACCCTATTAATTCGAAATATTACACAATTTGAAATAATAAAATTAATCAACTGTATGGGCTGACACGTTAAGATTTCTTAGTTTAAAGTTTGTTCATCGCGTTACATGGCGTCGAAATGGAATCTGTGGGACTCTTGCAAGCGCTCCTGTTTATCCTCACGCTTCTCTTTAATGTACAGTACCAATATGATGAGTATTATGACCAGGCAAGTGCCTCCAAGGGCTACAACACTCATCAGGATCAGTTTACTTGGGGTAACAAAGAGCTGAGCCTTCCAGTGCGATGGCTCATTCAGTGGCTTGGGCACCACAATAATCTGTGAGTTTGGAATCAGCTGTGTCCAATTACGCCACTTGCTCCCCAGGCCTACGGCCAGCTGATCTACAAAGTTGGGTGTTCGGCCCAGGCCAAAGCAGGTGTACGGCAGTTGTAGGGCAAAATAGGATGCCTGAGGCAGTTGCACGCTGCTACCACACTGCTGATCGCCATCTTGAGTGGTTGTGCTGTAGGTGATGCGCGGTCCAGGGAGATTGGTTCCGTATGTACGTTTCTTCCTACCCAGAGGAGTGCGACGCTCTGAATTCTGCTTGTTATCGAGACCCGTCAGTACAATAACCTTAACAAAGTTGGCATCGTAGTCAAGTGTATTGCGAAATGCAAGGGGACGGTAGCTGCCGTTTTGATTCTTCTGGATGAGAATCAGATCAAGGACTCCATCCTGATAGAAATCATAAAAGGCTCCTGCCACTGTGTTGTTTCCCATGGGTGACAGGGCGTTCCAGCGCACCTCAAATGTCCGCTTCGACGACTTCTCGCATGTGGTGCAGGGAACATTCTCCAGTAGAAAGGTTTGCATAACCGGTTTAGCTACGTTTAACGGCTGCAAAGTGAGCAAAAGATCGGGATAGCCATCCAAATTAAAGTCCCCACTTCTGGCCGTAATCGTTCTCAAGTAAATATCACCCGGAACGGGCGGCACCAGTGCCCACGTGATGCCCTGGGGATCCCTAAAATTGACATGAAGATTCCGAAAGTCATTGCCGTCGTGGACCATTATTGAGGAGTTCCGGCAGTTTGCAAGAATACAAAATGGAATCACAATGTTTTGCACACCCCTCAGCTCAAAGTCCATGAAGACGGCCTGGCCAATATGGTAGTCACTACCGCCAATCGGTTGGAACTTTATAGAGTACTGGTAGCTAAAGTTCTCCTGCATATCGTGTTCATTGACTCCGTACCAGATCTCATAGGAGTCATGGGTTTGCAAAAATAGATCGGCCAGGAAGTCTTCATTCAAATCTAAATAGGCATTAGCATTTGGTATGCTCAGACTATTTCCGCCACTTCCAGTTGGCACTGCCTGGTGGACCACATGGGGTTGCTCTCGGCTACTGTTAAATATCCAGAAAGTGCGCTCACCGTAGCTGTCGAGGCCATATAAGTCGAGTATCATGTCCCGGTTAAAGTCAAGAGCCATCACTTCACCGATGCTTTTAAAGAGATGCTTCTTTGAGCAGATTATCTCTGTCGTGTTGCCCCAATTGATGTACACGTCATAGCTTTCCTTGTCGTCGTTCTTGATATTCACCAGCACATCCATGAGAGCATCACCATCGAAGTCACCTGGGACAACACTGACAATCGTTTTGCCAGAGTAGGTACAGAACGGCCCCAGCATGAGCAAGGGTTCAGTCTCGTGACCTACGCCACGGAAAATAGTTGCACGAATAGTAAGAGGGATTTTCAAAATGTATGTATAAATACCATAGAGTATCTGCAGCCTTTTCATATTATCACAGATGACAAATATATCCGTCAGCTCGTCCGAGTTGAAGTCTCCAAAGGCTGCGACAATGCCCTCTTTAATATTTCCGAAGACCTTATCCGTGATATCGCTGCCATGAGCCATGCAGCACAGGCTCAACAGTAGCCCAAGGAGGAGGGCTCTAGACATGAACATTTTCATTAACTGACCCGCTTATTTTTACTGTTTTTTTTCTTTGTTATTGTCAAATCAATATCGAGCGTGTGACCGCTGAACTACCGATCAAATATACCACCTGACCCCTCAGAAATAAACCGAAATGTACCCTCTCAGATTAAACATATTCCATTAATATACCAAGAAAAACGAGAAGGGACTTGTGAAACGCTTCTTACGCGTCACAACTTTTATACCCGGCACTCAGGACTACAGCTAGATGTAGAAGACATCGCCAACCACTAGATATCGTTCACATTACAGAACACGTAGTAAAATGCCTACTAAATAAAATGCATCAAAAAAATTGGATCAGTTAATCGTATTTTCCAATTATGAGATATTTAAAACAGCAATAAAATTGGTACTTTTTCCCTGCACATTCTGCAGTTCTTATACGCAACTTTGACGGTCACTCTTTTTCTAAAACCCGAATCTTGGTTTTAACTTTTAAAAATTATCTTTTGGCCGCTGTTTCCGCAACTCATCGCAACCAGTTCGGAATCAAAATCTCGAAATAAAAAACCAAGTGCTGCTGGCTCGACCGAGTCGGAATTCAAATCAATTTAATCTCTTCTTCTTTTCAATTTCGATATTCTCCTATTAAATGCATGTTCTTCCTCTTTCACTATGAAATTCACATATAACATGTATGTTCTATAGCAACAAACTTCTGTGAGTATGTCGTAAATGCAACATCTTAATGCTACAAATTCATTTTACTTATACAAAATACTAATTTCTCCCGGCCATAAGGCCTTTGCGCTAATTTGGCGTAAACAGCCACCAAAACTGGTCATTGGGACAATAGTGCATCTGCACCTCAGCGGTGTTTTGTCAAATTAAATTACAAATTTAAATTTTTTCTTCATCTGTCATCTACATCTACAACACTTCTCACACCAACACACTCCGTTAGCTCGCCGCCCTTCCCTAGACCCACATACTGCAGACTCGANGCGTCACAACTTTTATACCCGGCACTCAGGACTACATATAGATGTAGAAGAAATAGCCAACCACTAGATATCGTTCACATTACAGAATACGTAGTAAAAAGCCTACTAAATAAAATGCATCAAAAAAATTGGATCAGTTAATCGTATTTTCCAATTTATGATATATTTAAAACAGCAATAAAATTGGTACTTTTTTCCTGCACATTCTGCGCAAAAATGACCGCTAGGTTTCACAGCAGAATTTTCGAAAGTGGCGCCATCAATGAACATTTCTTATACGCAACTTTGATGGTCACTCTTTTTCTAATACAGAGCGTTAAAAACCGAGTCTTGGTTTTAACTTTTAAAAATTATCTTTTGGCCGCTGTTTCCGCAACTCATCGCAACCAGTTCGGAATCAAAATCTCGAAATAAAAAACCAAGTGCTGCTGGCTCGACCGAGTCGGAATTCAAATCAATTTAATCTCTTCTTCTTTTCAATTTCGATATTCTCCTATTAAATGCATGTTCTTCCTCTTTCACTATGAAATTCACATATAACATGTATGTTCTATAGCAACAAACTTCTGTGAGTATGTCGTAAATGCAACATCTTAATGCTACAAATTCATTTTACTTATACAAAATACTAATTTCTCCCGGCCATAAGGCCTTTGCGCTAATTTGGCGTAAACAGCCACCAAAACTGGTCATTGGGACAATAGTGCATCTGCACCTCAGCGGTGTTTTGTCAAATTAAATTACAAATTTAAATTTTTTCTTCATCTGTCATCTACATCTACAACACTTCTCACACCAACACACTCCGTTAGCTCGCCGCCCTTCCCTAGACCCACATACTGCAGACTCGAGGCAGAGGCAGAGGCAGAGGCAGCGACCGCTCACAAAAAAAAAACAAATATACGCTGCGGGACGGGGTGGGTTAAAAGTCGGCAGTGGCAAAGGCAGAGGGACGGCAGAGGCAGGGGCCGAGTGAAGCAGAATCAGAGTGGAAATGAGAGAATGTAAAAAGAACAACAAAAGCTGCGGGACAGGGTGGGTTTAGCCACTGGAAATTAATTTCTCCATTGTGGCTATAATAATGATCCGATCGGATCCCAATTTGGGGATCTGATAGATATGGCCATTACCTACGGAATGGCGTTTTCTTTTATCTTCAAAACTGTAGATTTGGGAGGTTTTCCCCCTTTTGCGGGGGCGTAAGGGGCGTGGATCATTTTTGAAATACACTGGTTTCAGTGTGAGCATACAGCAGTCCGGAGCCAAAATTTGATGGCTCTAGCTCTTATAGTCTCTGAGAACTAGCCGACTAACAAGACGTACAGACATGGCTCTATCGACTGGTCTATTGATGCTGATCAAGAATATATATACCTTATGGGGTCGGAAACGTTTCCTTCTGTGCGTTACATACAACCGTTATTCCAACAAATACAATATACCCTATTTACTCTTCGAGTACCGGGTATAAAAACTATTTCTTGCGATATGGCTATCTGCTCGAAAATATATTAGGTACTCGAACAGTAAATAGGGGAAATAGTGGGGAATAACGGATGTACATACATATGTAACGCAGAGAAGGAAACGTTTCCGACCCCATAAAGTATATATATACTTATTCACATATGTGCATGAATTATGTAATAGATCGATTGTATCTTTCGTATACTTTAGAGGCAACATCGGTTAAATTTTAATTATTCACAAATTGCTCACAAATTAAAATTACAAGACACGTGTGCTGTGCACGGCTCCCAGAACGCAATTGAACCAGGCTATTTTGTTTCTTGTCCAACCCCTTGTCGGTCGCACAAATCCGCAATCCGTCGTAACAATCCGACCCGTTCATTATGCATTATTTTGAAATGTGTAAATTCACGAGTCGAAAACGTGAAAAGAATTCATGGAGAAAGTTTTGTTCCCTTCGGAAAAAACAGACCAATCGGGAGCTGGTTCGGGTTACATTTAATCATTTTTGGTG